ACAATTATGCTCGATGTTATATCCTGACCAAAACCCCCTTGGACCTTCACCGTGAAATGCCTCCATTCGTCGTGAATCGAAGTTCGAAGCTTCGTCGAAGAGAAAGTTGGTCGCCAATGATTTTTGTGATTTTCGACCAGTTTTGGAGTCTAGTCAACACATCGCCACCATCATTATAATCCTTGCTTAGTTTCGATCAAAACTCGATTGGGTCTATTACCTCGCGCGAGGGGTTTGTTTTCTAGTCGAGGACTTTCTAGAATCGACTGGATTGGTCTACACCGATATGAACCGGTTGAACCAGTCGAGCCGAGCTAACTGTATAGTTGAACTGATCACTCGAGTCGAACCAAGCCAATGCCTGAGTCGAGCCAACGCTTGAGCCGAGCCGTGAATCGAGTCGAGCTGCGAACCGAGTCACTGTTAACCAGACCTTTAACTTTGACCAGAGTTGACTTTGACCAAGGTTGGCTTTGACAAAAAAGTTAAAATTTTATGAAAGCTCATATTTCATGTTTTTCGACGTCATAAGTTCGAATCTGAAGTCTGTTTCGCCAAATTTGAACATGATAAGTTGTTTTTATATTTATCTATCGAGTCGATCCGATTTTCACATTTAAGTTTCGTTTCTAATGCAAATCGTTTTCACGTGTATCCAAGATATTATGGGACATTGAAATCAAGTTCGAGAGTGACCGAATGGAGTTTAATTAGCCAACCGAGGTAGCATGAAAATTGAGATAATACTCTACTACCTTTTGTATGCTTTACGGAACTCATTGATAATTGGTAAATGCATGAATGCAAATACTTAATTCTTGGTTAAGAAGTTATGAAATTACTTTTGCAATGTAAAAAGAAAAGGATTATCCTTGAAACTGGAAATAACCCTGAAAGTTATTCCTACCCGATAAAACTAATGTTTCACTTGTTAAAGGCTTGTTTAGCCTAGAAAACCCTAGTAACTAAATATGACCTTCGAGTTGACAAATGAATTAGAATTCTGATTCTTGAATAAACACCTAAGGACTAATTTACTAGAAGAAACGCGTATGGCAAAATTGGAAAAAAATGATTAAAATACTCTTGAAATGAAAATGAGACATTGACCTCCCCTGATAATGGAAATGACATAAATACCTTCATGACCTAGAAATAAGTGAATGCTATTGTATAATTTTGGAAATATCGATAAACATAAATGTTGTACTGCACCTAAAAGTTGAAGACGACCCAAATACGTCGATCACTCTGGATATTATTGCAATCCAAAAAAATATAAATACCATCAAAGTCCTAGTTCAGTTCCTCAAGATCCGTTCAACTACGACTCTAAAAGGGTGATCAATTCAACTAGTGCAGCCATCTCTATGAGGTGAATATTTGGGAAGTATATTGGTCCGAACGATTGACAAGTATCGCAGTGTTGAGATATGTTTAGTTTTTGATTAATTCGAGCTAAACCTTAATATTACAAATTTACCGTATCACCCTTATTGGGTTAAATTACTAAGAATTCTCTAGGAAAGAAAATGTCTAAAATGCCTTTGATAGCATGAATGGTGGAATCACGCCTGTTAAGTCTGAATCATTAATTAATAGCTATGATGTAAAGGTTCCTAAATGTCTTCCAAATGCATCTTAATTTTAAAAGGTCATAAAACCCTAATTTCTAAATGTTTTATTAGATCTGTTAATAATCGAATCTCTTTTAATAGGGATCACATATATGAAATCTGATCAATTTATCGAAGTTCAATGTTTTCCCTTCCTAATAACTATCAAGTCTCCTTGAATAATAATTGGATATTCTAGTGTGTTCTTTGTATGATATATGACTATTTTATATGCTCTGAAGCAAGGTTGTTTTATCTGTTCTAATTTATGAAAATTTATCTGATGGAAATTTTGATACCTGAGTTACTAATTTTCAAAATTTGTTTACCTAATACATGTTTTCTACTTTCCAGTTTTTACTGCAAAATATAATGTGCCCAAATTATGGATCCTACTATTGTTTATTATCTGAACTACTTTATTGGGGTATTGTTTGGGTAAGTTTTTGGGGTATGGAGGTTCAAGTGTCTGATCAAGCTACTACATCCTTACGGGCCTAAGGTGACCATTGGGTAGGCTTTTTGGCCCCAAGGTACTCCCCTAGGTTGGCTTCTATACTTATTGTGGTATAGGGTAAGTCCTTATGGATGCAGTTCTAGGAGACTGTATATTGGTGTATGGGTGAAGGGTAATTATGTGATTTAAATAAACATTATTGTCACTTTTACGATGTTATATTGGATCATGATTATGATATTATGGTTCACTGCTCAAATTGATTTTTCTAGGGTACTGCTTGGGTAGGATACTGGAGTACGGAGGTTCATATCTGATCAAGCTGATAAATCCTGACGGACCTAAGGCAACCCTTTGGTAGGCTTACAAGCCCCAAGGTACTCCCTTAGGTTGGCTCCTACGCTTAATGTGCCTAGGGTAAGTCCTTATGGATGTAGTTTTGGGGAACTGCATATGGAGTGTTTGGGTGGAAGGTATCACTGTGTTTTTAAAAATTTGTTTTACTGAATAAACTATTATTTCTAGTTTTGCTGGAACACACTAGACTTCCCAACTTTATTTCCTGAATCTGTCTCTCTGAATGTTTCCTCTGAAATGTAAGCTTATTGACTGTTACATAAAGAATTAACTAGTGAGACCTCAACTCATCGCTATGACATGTATATGCTTGGATAACTAAGGAAAACTTCATGTTGCACCATATATTTACTGGTCCTTTAGCATCACCTGATATTTTTGTATTACTGAGCTTCCCAAAGCTCACTCTGTTACTTATCATTTCAGGTTAAAAGATTCAATCTTGTTCAGTTATCTACATCAAAGATGGGAGTTCCTTCGACATCACTTGCAGAGTATGATGCATGTAATTAGGGGGCATGTTTGTCACTCTTGTTTTTTTATATTAGTGTCTGAAACTTGTTTGATATTGTATACAATTGAAATATGTTTTGAGTTTCTAAATGATTTAAGAACTTACAATTTATTTATAAAATGTTTTACAATATTTTAAATGGTTTGTCAAAAACTATTTTATTTTTGTCTTATTTTACCATGGGTCACTCCGGCGGCCTTAATGTGACACCTCAGATCGGATCGAGTTACCCGTATCGATATGGGGGTGTTATATTTAGTGATATATGTTACTATTTAATTGGATATTAAATTTATTTAATTGAATTAAGATAATGATTAAATTGATAAAATATATAAATACTGATGGCCAAATGAAGAGTTTACTAATTATTTTTAACAATTACATCATCTTTTCCGTTAAATATTAACGATAAATGGTTTGACCGAAACATTTAAATAATTTAGTGATCTAATTGATAAAATCAAAACATTAATTGTCAAAGTGAAAAAGGACAATAATTATTGATCATACGTAGTTTGCTCTCTATCATTTGCTTCTAAAACATTAGAGTATGTTAATAGGTATCAATTTAGTGTAGACAAAGCTTAAATGATCATACGAGTAGTTTGCTCTCTATCATTTGCTTCTAAAACATTAGAGTATGTTAATAGGTATCAATTTAGTGTAGACAAAGCTTAAATGATCATACGAGTAGTTTGCTCTCTATCATTTGCTTCTAAAACATTAGAGTATGTTAATAGGTATCAATTTAGTGTAGACAAAGCTTAAATGATCATACGAGTAGTTTGCTCTCTATCATTTGCTTCTAAAACATTTGAGTATGTTAATAGGTATCAATTTAGTGTAGGCAAAGCTTCGTCAATTTTAAATCGTTGGAGTGAGCCTCATAGATCATTGTTATAAGATAATTCATTAGAAACATGTTTGAGAAAAATGACATAGTGGATCTACTGAAAAACATGTTGGAGTGAGGCTCATAGATGATTGATAATAGGCCACCTTGGTCCTTGGATGGCATGCTAGTTCGTACGGGACTTTGGAGCTCTGGCCATTCCTTGGTTCTCTTCCAATACGCCTACAATTCCATAATTCCTATATGGCTTGAACTGGATGGTCTTATTTGCCGCTAGTCTTCATCAATTGCATCATCTTTGGTACCAAAGAATTTATAATTCCCCCATCAGCTCTGTAGGTGCTTCCCTCGTCACATTTTTCTTTACCATCATCAGTTTGCTCATTTCCATGATGGCCACTACTCACTTCCCCTGCCATTGTTAATAAATGAGCTCCTTCCATGTTCTTTTTACTTGTCAAACATATAAAGTTGGCCATTTGTCATGGTGTCCAAATGGCTGTGAAAATAGAGCTACCGATTGCTATTGACTTATTGTGAAGAGTGATTCATTGAATGTGGTCCGACAGTTAAAGAACCCCTATTACGATCGATATGTTCTTCGGTTCTTCCTTGAAGCACACCACTTTCTAGATTTCATCCTCATATTTCCACTCGATTTGTACATCGTGAGGTTAATATTGCGGCTCATCCGCTCTCCAGTTATGTATCTATGACGTATGTTTCATTATATTTTGAATCTATAGTTCCTAAATATATTTTTTGTTGTTATATCCGACACTATTTACGGTTGATAAAGATCATTTACTTTTAAAAGAAATTCTAAACTCAAAATCCTAATTATGAATCCTAAACTTTAAAACCTAAAATTATTGGATCTAAACCCTAAAATTTAAAATTGTGAATTCTATCATTGTAGAATATTTTTACACCTTTAATTTATGTAAAAGAATAAAATTTAGATAATTTTCTTTGTATAAAGATTAAAGAATTATGCTCTAAATTATCATTTATGTAAGCAAATATATTTTAAATTTTTTTTAACTATACTTGGTCACATTTATTTCCCCGGCTTAAACTTGGGACCAAACGAACAAGAGCAGAGCGTGGTAAAAATATGGACATTGTAAACAGGCCTAAACAAAGACCCAGTTAAAAGCAAAAATCATAGCAATAATTCAATAATCGGGTTGACGTTAAACTTGTTTCTTCAAAGAAACAGAGACAATCAAGCCATGAGCCAAGAACAGGAACTTCCTTCTCCTTCTCCTGCTTCTCAACCAGACCAACCTTATCCTACGTTCGATCCTAGTCGAAGTAACTCTTCCTACTCTCCTATGCTTTATGGGTTTTCTTTCTTTTCTTTTTCTGGGTTTTGCTTCCTATTGTTTTGCGTTCTTGTTTTTCTCTATGTTTTCTGAATTTGGGTCTTCGTTGCTGTGTGCATTTGGACTAAAAAGATGTTTTTTAATGGGTTTGGTTTGGTTTTTAATTTTGAGGGAAGATATGGTTAGGTTTCTGCGTGGAAATTTTAGAATTTTTAGTTCAAACTGCTAAGAAATCAAATGTGAAGTATGCTTATAGTACTTGAATAGCTGTGATTATTTGTTTAAATTATCTATTGGTAATGCTGTCTAGATTGACTTAATTCTGTTGTTTTAACCTACATATTAATCTGTTTCTACCAATATATGAGAGGCAATCATTTTAACCACTCAGCCTCTTTAAGACTTGTAATTGATCAATTCTTTTATGCAAATTATAAACATTTCAATTACTTCAATTTTCATATGGTTGTGGCTATTATAGTGTTGATAAGAAGAGGGGTTGTGGTTTTAACCTTACATTTAGTTAACCAGAGGTGTTAGTTTTAATGGGTTTAGGTTATTTGGCCAGGGAGGATTTAGGACTTTGTGAGTATCCTTTATATAGGCTTTTGATGAATTTCTTCTACAAAATCTCTTAATATATATACACACACACACACACACACACGTTTTATGCAGTGATCGGCATCATCAAGAGAAAGGCCTTAATAAAAGAGTTAGCAGCTGTCTACCATGCAGAATGCCTTGCATACTGTCAAGAACTTCTGGATCTTCAGAAGAAGTGGGATGAGGTATTACCATTTATGTCCTTCTCACGAGTAGCACTTGCATCTCATCAGTTTCAATATGGAGCAAACTCTTGGTAATTTTATAATTATGATTGTTGGTGACCTTACTACAATTACTTAATCTTAGTTGCAGTTTGTATCTCCTAGGTGAATAAATAGTATAGTTTCATCTTCCTCGACTTTATAATATGAGGAATAAGTTATACAAAACCTCACTTTGTGCTTCTTTACGTCTTGCTATATGTTGTATGTGGTGATAGCAAAATGTTGGATACGTGCTTAAACAAAGTTGGACTATTCAGATGTGCTAGTTGGTGTTTGCCCTTTCAAACTTAGCAAGGAAATTTTATCTTGGACATTTTTGCTTTGTTGTTAAGTCGGAAAGGAATGGTAAATGTCATGTTTTAATTCAATTTATAATGTTGTTGTGCAGATATTGGTTTCATAGAGATCCATGGGTAATCCACATGTAATTGGAAATGGTAGGAGGATGTGGTCCACTTAGAAATAATTGAACATAATCCCACCCGAATCTTAGTATCATAGGATCCAAGGACTTTCATGGCTATACATTTTTGGTAATAACAGTATTCCCTTATCGGTAATCATTTTCTCGCTGTTTTCAGCCATTTATCCATGTTAAAAGTCCTGGTGATATGAGGAAAGAGAAAATGAGGCCTGCAAAACGACTAAAGAAATCTCGCTAAGCATATGATAATGGTAAGATTCGAGCCCAATCTTATGCATGATGTTATATCCATCTTTTTGCTATGTTACCCTATTTTAGGGTAAGTTATGTTGTCATACCCTCTCTTAGGGGTGAGCGTTCTAGTCGAGTCTAGTCAAAAAATTTTGAGTTATTCGAGTTGACGAGTCCTATTTTACAATTCAGAGTTGACTTGAAATTTTTTCGAGTCGAGTCAAATTTTCGAGTTTGTGTTTAAATTTAATTATCAATATTTATAATATTATGATATTATTTTATTTCAATTTAAATGGTTTTTTATGATCATATACAATACATATATATATATATATATATAACAATCCATTAATGTGCGATTTTTTATATAAAAAAATACAATATATGTATATTTCCATATATTATATACATATATCATATAAAATTGAGGGACTCGAATCAAACTTGAAAATTCATCCACTAATTACTAAAAATTTCGAGTTATTCGAGTTGTATTTTACAACCCGATTTGAACTTGAAATTTTTTTGAGTCGAGTTTATGAAATTACAATTTGAAGTCATTTCGAGTTGAGTTTTTTCTAATTGAATCAAGTCGAAAAAATCAGTTTTTCGAGTCGTGTATAATTTTGCTCACCCCTACCCTCTTTCATTTCTACTGAAATGGTCAAATAGATTTTCGAACAATTTCTTGTTTCAATTTTTAAAAGTATCTTCATTTTTGCAGATGATGTGATGACATGGGGTTTCATTACTTTGCTGCACCCCAAATACGAAACAACTCTATAGATGCCAAAACAACAACAATCGATCAAGATTTCTTGTTTCCACAATGTTCTGTATTGTATGTAACATAAGTACGTCTTAATTTATTATTCGAGACAATTACATTTATGGTGTTAACACCTTGTATCATATAGCCAACCTAACTAGAATTTTTAGCCATTGATTTGCTCGATCTGACTACCTTGTAATTAAGGCCCAAGTTTATTGATTTGTGTTTGTTTACACTTTCTACTGCATATGCTTGTATGGTTGTGGTATAGACTTCGGTAGATTTGGATTGCTTTGTTCCATGTATGACTACAGGATATTCGAGCAACATTCATTTAACATTTTAGATCCCCCTCCCCTCTTCTCCGCACATAATTCAAGTTCCGATGATTATTTGTATGAACATTTTGGATTGGTCTTGGTTGATATCCAGGCCCTGCCTTTCATGCTGTTGTTTTCCCAACATTTCTACCTTTTTTCTGCTGCAATTTCTCCCGTAAATTTACGAGCTTGAATCGTAAATTGTTATCGATCATTTTGACATCAACATGCCAAAATCTCCCATCACAGGTTTCAGGTATGGACTCATCCACATCTTCCTTTCTAGCAAGCTTCATATTTGCTTAAGTCGCAAGCGATAGATGTTCATTGCTTACATTCTATATTTACTGGAAAAACAAAATTGAATCAATTAATAAATTATCATTATCTATAATCAAAATCATAAAAATAGAGAGGTTCCTTTGTTTTAAACCTTAATCTCCTAAAAAATAGAATTTCTTTACACGAATATTGCGGTCATCTGTATATAAGTGATATAATAAACAACCAAATCCAATCCAATTAATTTAAGGATAAATTACATAAACGATCACATAACTAAGGGATGGGTTGTGAAATGATCATCATTTTCCAATTTGCGTCAGTACGACTACTAAACAATTTAAATGAGTTCAAAATTATCAGTATCCTTTAGAAACCAAACGACGAATCCATAGATTTTTGTGCAAATTTTTTATTCCACGTTGGTTAAATAAACCTCTACATCAATGAAAAAAAATCAATTGCAAAAAATTGGACATTTAAAGAACCCTAAAACCCATTTTCAATATTTTCCCATTCTTTCGTATCATTTTGTGGAGAGGAAGAAAATCTATAAGGGTTACAGACAACAATGGATGTATATATGACTCGTACATGCTTTTGTGGAGTTCGTTCTATGCTAACAAGTTGGATTGATGAAAATTCATGTAGGAGATTTAGGGTTATGGAAAATATGGAAAAGGGATAAGGGGTTGTAATTTTTTTTGCTAGTATGATCCACCAGTGAACCCTAGATCAAAAGTTGTTATTGTTGGTCTTCTTAAAAGGGTTGCTGCTATAGAGAAAGAAAGGAAGAATGAAAGGGTTCTTGTTATTTTTCTTTTTGGTACTGTGCTTTTGGTGGGTTTCATCTTAAGAACAATCTTCTCTTAATATGCTGGAAATTTGTTTCTTCAAATTGAATGTTTGTTATGACCGGAGATACTCATTTTTTGTCCGAATCGATTTTTTTTAATTATTGTTATATTATATGTTATATATATTAAATAATTAATAATATTTTTATTTTATTTCATTTTACAGACCTAATTACAAATTACAAGACCCAACTCATAACCCAAATAACCGACCCAAATACAACTAAACAAATCAGTCCTAGTAATTAAAAAAGAAATAGATTACAAACGGGCCAGGACCAAGCTAATGGCCCAAAGACAGACTGTCAGGCCCAAACAACAAGCTCAATTTGAATAGCCCAACAAATTAGGGTTTCATCTCATCATACTAGTTAGGGGTGTGTAAATCCGGATACCTGAATTTTCGAGTACCCGATTTCCGGGTACTCGGAACTTCTAGGTCGGTGATTTTTCGATCCGTCTCCCAACCCGGATGTTACGGGTATCCGGATATTACGGATATCCAGATTTTACAGGTACCCGATTTTTTTATTTTTCATTTTCAAATTATTAATTTTAAAAAATATACTCAAATTTAAATGTTTGAAACTTCGAATTACATACTCTAATATCCAAACATAAAATTTAAAAGTTTGAAATACAAAATTTTAATAATCCATAATATAAATAATTCATTTTATTATATATATATATATATATATAATAAAAAAATAAAAACTAATCGGGTACTCGAAAAAACTAGATTTTATAACCCGGGCCCGACCCAAGAAATGTTGGGCCAGGTACCCGACCCGATCAGGTAATTTTTTTTAGAAAATTACCCTAATTTTTTAGATCCGAGTCGACAGGTCAACGAGTCGGGTCTATTGGATCGGGTAGTTTTGCACACCCCTAATACTAGTCGCCAAGTGCTTTTGTGGTTGGATCTGCCTTTGATCTAACGACCAAATGGAAGAGATCAAGTTAGGGTTTTGTCCAAACTCACCCACTGCCACTATTACTCACTGTCGCACCGCAACTACAACTGCCGATACCTGTTCCCGTCACCGCCTTCACTTCAACCTGCCATCAATACATCAGTCATACTACTTGGAGGCTAAGAAAAATATTAAAAAAAATCTAAATAATTTTTTTTACTAGCATAAAGGCAAAATGAAATCAAATCCAAGGCTTTCAACTCAAAATAGGGTCATCATGCCCTATTTTATGGAGATTATCAAAGCAACCTATCAAATACAGAGAAAACACTATAAAAGGGGAGAAAAGAACATTTTTTGGGGTCCAAAAAAATGGAAAAGAAAAGAAAAAAACATTTGAAATAATAAAAAGGAAGATAGACAATAAAACTTCCCTCGCCACGGTGGTGCTTCCCTCTTCGGAGTCGGATATTCGAAAAAAATCAAAGGTAAAATCTTTAGATCTAAGGCTATCAGCTCACTTTTAAAAAAAACGAATTTTAGATTTAAGAACAATGAGTTGAGATACATCGGGTGGTATATAGTTTTTCATTTTTTGGCGTCGGTAGACGGTGGTTGAAACGGCGGAAGGTCACCGATTTTTTATAACGTTTGGATTTGAGAGGAGAGTTTTGAGAGAAAAAATTCTCTCTTTGATTTTTGGCTAGAGGGAATTAGGGTTTCCCAATAGCCTATTATAGGGTATGTATAATACCCTCAAAATGACGTCGTTTTAAGCTTCCATGGCCTGCGTGTTTTGATGTTTCAGGGTAAATCTCGCGTTTAATCCTCCCTAAGTTTCAATGAATGCATTTTGGTCCTATTCTTTGGTTATTTTCCTATTCTTTCGAGCCTATAACTTTGCAATTAGTTCAATTTTGTCCCATTATTATGCATATTCAGTCCTATTATAGGGTATATATATTTGTTTGCACTTGAGCCTTGTTATTGGTTGATTAATTCATTTTAACCCATATTAATATAATATCGAATGCTTGCATATTATTATAATATATTACATGCATTTACGTATTATAGTTTTAAATATTAATGTATGTAATCTTAATTTTGATGCATCTAAATTTCAATATTTATATCCATATATATTTATATACTTACTTATTTTCTCATATGTTATTTCTATCCATTATCATTATTTTATACGTACATTTTATAAATATGTATATTATTGTATTCTTTATAAAATAAGTACATGCATGTTTGCTTACTGTGGTAACATATTTATATCTATTATATTTATTTTTTATTTATTTATTTTAAGATAAGTATATATATTATTAAATAAATTTATTTCACTACGCTGGTTGTATATAAATATGTGCACCTGTAAATAATCAAAGATATTTTATTTATTTATTTATTTTATTCGATTCAAATCAAAGCAATATTTTTTGTTTTGTTGTTCGATTAAGCTATGAAGGACTTCAAATACTTGGGGTGTCATTTCGAGAGTTATTCGAATAAAAATAATTTTCAATATTATTTATTATTTAATAGATATATCTTATTCCACTTTACCTAAATGTGTCAATTTAGACATTTCCGTTTTTTTTTATAATTAATAAAATCATTTTGATAAATTGATATTCATTGTGTTTTTATTTATTTTAGTATCGTTATTTTAATTTATTTACTCATTTTTCTTATCATGTTAATATTTTCATACATCTTTTTTTATGTTATTTTATTATTGTGGCATTCATAAACTATGCATTTATTTTCGTTGTTTTCAAATATTCAAAGTCAATGTCGTTTTGCGTCTTGGGTTAACGAAATCACGTCTAATATAATTGGATTTCAATTTCTGTTAATTCTCGTAGTAAGAGGATGTCCTTAAATAAAACCAAGTGAATTAAATAACATTCATCATTTAAAAAAAAAGAAATACATTCATTTTTAAATTTTCATCGAAATAAAGAGAATCGTAATTTAAATTTTGAATTCAAATTTGTAAAATTCTACTACTTAGACAATATATAATCGAAATTTATTGATTTTGGGCGTTGTGGGGGTGTTAATCCTATCCCACGCGTAATCGACTCATGAATCCTAAAAATTAATTTCTGGTGACACGCAGACCAATTTTTGTCTTTAAAATGATTTTCCTTAAAATTGTTTTAAAAACCATTTTTAAGTATTCGACCTACTTAATCCAAAAGTTAATGACGACTCCAAATAAATTTCAAATTAAACCAAAATCCAAATTTTCCAAAATAAAGTCATAGTTATTTTTAAATATAATTTATTTATTAAAAAATAGTTATGACAATAACTATTAATGGGATTGGGTATCTAGGTTTTTTATAATCTTAAGGGTGATGTTTTTGAACTTATGTTACTATTTTTTATAATGTACTAGAATCTCAAATATCTAAGGAAAATATCTTTTCATATTAAGTTGTGAATTAAACAAGAAATTAGCTGACCTTTATTCCCATATGTAACGGGATAAGGGGGAGGTAGGATAGTAGGCTTCCCCCAACGCCAAATTGAGAGCAGCTTACGTAGGAGACCTCCGAATTGTGAATTAAACAAGAGAATGAATTATTTGCGGATGGTGAAGTAATAATGTCATTAAACAAAAATATGAATTAAGAAAGTTAAAGAACACAATAAAGTAAACAAATACAATATTAGGGTGGAGGTTTTGTTGTTGTTGGAGTTCTTAGAGTGATTCTATCTCCA